TGGTTCTGTGTTTTTCTCTCCTTTACTTGCTTTGTTTTTTTTTTTTTACGCATGGTTTCTTAAGTTAGTTAGGACAGGAACGACGGTCGAGACCTGTCCTCTTTCCTTAGCTTTATGAATGTGGTTTTGTTTACGAGTGACAATCTATCCTCATCAAGAATCATGAGATTAGAGCAATATTTGTATCAAAAATTAGTCAGTGATTGTTATCCAGCCAAATCCTTAGATCTTTGCATACTTCTATATTACTATTTTCTCCTTTTTTTTGTTTGTCTGTACTGTTTATATGTGTACAAATGCCAGATAGTATATTCACGTCAAAAGCTTTGTCTCTTTTCACCCATAGCTATTTTTCTGTATAATGTTTAGATATTTTTGTGATTTCATCTTATAAGAAATCATCTCAATCTAGAAAATTAAATTATTATATAAAATTTTAAAATATAATTTATATTATTTTTAATATATTTTCTCAATTAAAATTTTTTTAAACTTGAAACTCATACATATATATATTATCTTATATTTAATTTCATTAATTGAAATAGAGGTATTGAAATTAAAATTCGTGACTGTTTAGTTATTAAAACTTTAATATTATATCAATAAATCATCTCAATTTAAAAATTTTAATTATTAAAAATATAAAATTTCAATATATAATTTATATTATTGTTAACACATATTAGTATTATTAATAACTAGTTGTTATCTTAGTGGGTGATTTATGTTTCTTTCCCGGGCAAACATAAAAAAATGCAGCTTGTGACCTCAATATTTCTATCAAATAATATTTTATCATTAATTTTTTATATATTTTTCATTAAAAGGTTTTATCCATTACTTTTCATCCATAATTCATTCAAATTACTTAGCAAATCATGATTCTTTAACAACCATTACAATGGAGGATGGTTATACTGTCATAAAACTAATAAAACTATTAGATTAGCTATCATAAAAGTTTAGTTTACAAGTATGCAATATTATATATATTATAATAAATTTACAATCAAAATAAAATACTAGCATATATACCACCAATATATACCAGAAAAATATAAAAACCTCCATAATAGATTAAAACATAATCTTAGCTTGCATATTAAAACTAGGTCAAGGCTCAACCACGAGCTCAGCAGGTTTGATTTAAATTCAAAACTTCTTTTAAGAACTTAGGTGCCATTGATGTAAAATTTTAATTTTTCACCAAATTAATATGTTTCATTCACTAAACCCCATTCTCGTTCAATTGATAAACAAATTTAAATTTAATTGATAATCTATTATAAATTTTATATTTAGAATAAAATATAAAATCACATAATTGAATTCAGTTCAATTATATTGTTTGGAATACTTGTAGAAATGAATTGAATTATCAATCTTGACTATTTTACTCTTAATTCATAAATCATTTTTTGTTATAAAATACCTTTATATTTATTTAAAATGAAATAAAACACAGATATTTTTAGAAAATATATAAATAGACAATTTAATATTAATTCTTTATTAAAATTCAAAAAATATGTATTTGTTAAAAAAGATTCAATCAAATTAATATTTTCATTGGAATATTGAGAAAAAAAACTCTAGAAAAACTCTAATAAAAATTCTAACATTTTACTCAAATCATACTTAAATAAAATAAATATTATACCATTGCAAATCACATTACCAAATAAACAATTCAATGACTAATATAATTTTGATAGTGTTAATAATTCATAAAGATACCACAATTCTTAGTTTTAATAATTCAAAAAAAATCACCACATAAAATAAATTCTCGACAATTATTGTATAAATAAGTTTGTTGCTATATATTTCGCTACCCAACGCCACTAAGAAGAACATGTATAGTTTAAAATGAAACCTTAACTTGATGGAGGGTCCCATGAATTTAGAGATAGTTTACTGTTGAAATTCCCTGAAATTGGTTTTTGACAACATAAATCTTGTGAATGGCAATTATGGTTTTCTAAAATGCAAAGAACATGTATGATCATTTGTTATTTTGAATTAGCTAATGGCAAATAATTAGTTCTGATTTATATTTCATGTGGTAATTATATATGTATTAGCTATCGAGCGATACATGCATCGTGTTTCTGGGAAATTGAGTCAAGTCCCTAGTTATTAATTCTTAGAATTGTATGCTGTTAAATAAATTGGAATAATGCTGATCATGATCTCTTCATCGTGAATAAGTTAGCGTTTCAGTGACCTCATGCTTGTGCCTCTATTACAGATGAACACTCATGCCATAGACCAAGATAACTCCAATCTCAAGAAATAGTGTGAAGAGAAGGATGCTGAGCTGAGCAGTGTTCTTCAATCAAATAATATGGCAGGTTTTAGGGTATTTTGGACTCACATCAGCAACATTTTTCAATTATCACCGTAAGATTTCACAGTAAGATTTCATAGTTTTACCGACAGACAATTCATCATTAAATTTTTTACCGACTAAATCGCCGATAAAAAATGTCTGTTGGCATACTGTTTGTTAGTAATACCGAATTTCATCACTAAGTCTGTCCGTAACAAAAAAAAAAAATATTACAAATGGTTTTATATCGGTAACAAAAAAAAATATTACAAATGGTTTTATATCCAGTAAATATTTTTCAGCTCTCAGTTAAATGCCGACAGACGGTATCCCTCTATAAATTTATCGGTGAGGGTGACATTTCCACCACTCTATAAAATGCTGACAGACTTTATTCATCTGTAAATTTATTGGTGATTGTGGCATTTGCACGAAGCTACTGTGCAATGCCGATGGATATTATCCGTCTGTAAATTCATTAGTGATAGTGGCATTTCCTGTTCTTTGTCATATGCCGACGACATTTCATTTGTAAATCCCTTGGTGGGTATTTTTAATTTTTTTAAAAAAAATTATTTAGAATAAATAATATAACATTATATAAATTAATAGTAAAAAAACCAATTATGTAAATAAAATTTTATTACACATCAAAACAAAAAAAAAAAGTTAAATATTATTGATTACAAATTGAATGTGTTTTAAAAAATATATATTTAATTAGCATAATGGCGAAACTGAAGAAGGAGGAAGAGAAGGAGGCTAGTTGTTATACAGCCAAAAAGGGGGTGCACATGTATCACCACTCTGTGATGCCATGTTTATGATCATTTGGCGAAATTGTTCATAATTTACTGAGAGTTGCTTGTATTTTTTTGTGAGATGAGCTATGTGTTGTTCATAATTCACTGATAGTTGCTCGTATTTTTTAGTAAGATAAGTCATGTGTTGCTGCAAGGTCACGAACTCCTTAAATTGGATGCTTAATACTGATTGGGAGCTCCCGACGGTTGAGACACTACGGGTATAGTATTGGAGAGCCCATACACCTGATTTTTATCGGGTTCGTCGGATGATCCTACCATGATCCACAAATTCGGATCGAGATTCGGATGGATCAAATGATCGTTTCCATATCTCTCCCTCAACTGGCTATTATAGGTGTCCTGAAAATGAAAAAGGAAATTATCATATTCAACTCAATAAAAATAATAACTTACAAAATAAAATGGTTGAACGAACATACCATAAAGTGTTGAGCGCTATTGTCAACGAACTATTGCCCCTTCTTTAGGCTGTCTTGACTCCGCACGTGCGTCTCAACAAATAGCTCCATTGGGCTTGGCTCACGTCCAAAAAACTTAGCCTGTAAGGAAAGAATTAATTAAGTAACAACAAATTATTTAATGATATATTTTATTTAAATTAATCTTACCATCCATTTTACATGTGTAGCAAATGAAATGGAGTCGCCGATATGCGTTGACACCGAACCATGAATTGACCGGTTCTGGTTGCTAGCACTAACTTGTGAGCATCGTGTGAGCCGCTCATATGTCATGTGCTTAAGATATTGCGACCATATATCTGCCGAGATGTATAGTAGTTTGAAATCCCTCCAAACCATCACGTTGTTCCAGTCTTGGAAACCGTTATCTCTCATGTTTTTTTTTCTATACTTCATACCAAAAATCACGCAACCTACTTCCATAATGAGAAACTAGATTTTGAAACATAATTTTTTTAAAAAAAATATTGCATTGTTTTTTATGTTACCTTGCCACGTGATTCTCCCACACCCTCCTCACTATAGTGTCATGCGCACTGTCCTCATTAAATTTTTCTTATATATAAATAATTAATTTTAAATAAAAATAATAATTTATTTACAATTATATTAATAATTTATTAGAAATAAGCTGGAAATTAAAAATTAACACCAACCTCAAATTTGTCAAACCATGCATCAATTTGATGTATCCATTCAGGATGTCCGGATACTTGACTCTATTGAAATAATAAAATCTACATCAACGATTTAAACACTGATGATATTATTCGAGCAGCCTCAATGTTTGTAAACCTAGAAATAAAATAAATTAATGAAATATTGATTAGTTGTTCATAAGTTATGTTATAATTAAAAAACAAAAGCTAAAACTAAAACAAACATATATTAAAAGGTCATCCTTTCATTGTGCCTCGTACTTGCGAATGAATTCATTCTACGGTGAAGGCACACTGTCTCTGCGCCGTAAAACCACGCTGGAAGAGGCAACATTGATTGACGACGCAAGTGCCTCTTCTTGATTGACATCTAAGGATATATCATCCTCACTGTCAGAAGAACTAGTTGCGACCATATGTAAGTGACGAGCTGTTGATTTCGTTCTATGTATCTATATAATTTTATACGAATAATTATATAATTAAATTTGATTGTTAAAAAAAAATTGATAGCACCTCCCTTATACTGATAATAGTCACAATCAATTGAAAACAAGAAAACCCAAAAACTCATACTAAAATAAAATTGACAATAGCATAACTAACCA